TTGGGACAAAAGTTCCTCAAGACTGAAAGGCGTGCACTGAAAAAACATGGCAGTCGGGGCCAAGGTTGTGTGCACCGATCGGACGCTGACAGGTGTGGCCAACGCACATACTGCTGCAACGTCAAGTAAGACAAGGGGTGCTTCTGCAAATTTTGTTATTGCCCAGTACTCTCGCACACAGCGCTGCCCTGCTGACAGCGAAGACATCACGTCGAACTTCGAATTTGTTCTGAAGACTGCTGCGCCCACCACCTGTCCATCCCACTTGGAGAATGCTGCGTGCCATCTGTGACCTGGGTCCGATTGCAGAGGCAAAGCCTCTGAAGGCAACACCTCACCGAGCATCAGCTGACGTTTCAGCTTACTGCTATAACGAAGATCTTGCGATATTGTCCTGCAATTTTCTGGACCCAGCTTGCTCTGCTTGCCCTCACGTGCAAACAGCCAGCAAATCTGGACGGGGTTACTGAAAGCCATGACGCACCAAAACGTAAGGAACATGTGGCCAATTCTTTTCAGTTTCTGGAAAAGTGTCCTGCTGGTCTGGCTTCCGTACAGCTCTGCATGCGCAATTTCAAGGGGATGAAACCTAGTTCTGAGCTTGAATGCTTCACCTACACGTTGCTACAACATGCTGCTACAACTTACTGCGTGCTGGAATCGGACAAGAGTACTATAGCCTGAAAATTGCAACCGGCCATCCAGTCAAACATTTAAAACATCAAACACCTGTAACAAGCGTTCGCAAGCTTTCAAAACAAAGCTTTAGGGCCTTTAAGGTTCTGAGTGAGGCTGGGTAGGGTTTTTGGAGTTGAGTCTCTGGACCACTGAAGCAGTTTGAGCCTTGGGGCCCATAAACATTCTCAGGGACGCAACTACTCCCAGTTCTCTGCAATCAATGACATTGTGACCCACGCAAGCAAACAAACAGAACAATTCAGTTTTTTTGTCAGAAGTCAGGACATTCTTCTGAACAAACTCACCTCTCGAATCTCTCGAACTCTCAGTCTTCAGTTCCAAGAGACTCTAAACCCCGCGAAGCCTCACGGTACGCCACACATGTTTGGTCACAGCAAGCCCACTGTCTGCTCAGCATCACACGCTGGAAGACTTAAAAACTGCTCACACACCTAACTTCAGCGCTAAGACCTCGAAGTTCCACACAAACCGCAGCAAACCCTTGCAAGCGGCCTTCTTCGAGAGAGAGGTCTTCCATTTTGCCAACTGGAAAACACGTAACGCTTCGCAGTACGAAAGAGCTGGTCTGCTGAACCATTTTTCCCCACCCACCAACAGTGGTGGCAATCACACATTACCCGTCCGCAGCGGTTTTTCTTACCTCAAAGGCCATCCACACACATGACCCGAGCCCCTGAATGGCAGGATACTGAAGAAGCTATGTCCACTCAAGAGGTTGTAGCTCCTGGAGCTCAACATAGAACAAGACTCCTGCTGAAACTATCCACCAGACTCCTTATGAAAGGATCCCCCCCCACCCCGGGAAAAGAAAGAGCCAACGCCTCAACCCGAAAACCCCCCTCAAGCCTAAACCCTAAAGGCCCCCTCAGCCCTCCACCCCCAGAAAACCCCTAAGCCCTAGACCTCGAACCCTCAAACCTAAACCGCGCAGCCCCTAAGAGTGACCCCTCTCCCCCCCCCCGGCGTCTCCGCGGTGAGGGTGGAGCCGGGCGGAACCACCAAGCGCCCCACCTTGTGGGAGCTTCCCAAGTGTTCGAAGGGTTTAGGGTTGAGGGTTCGGGATCAAGGGGTCTACCGTTCAATAAGCTTTCTTGTCTCATGGGGTTCGAAGAGAAGCCCCCAAGCAGCAAGGGGAAAAAAAAGGTACCCCACGGTTAAGACCCTAAAACGCTGAGGAAGCTAGTTGGGGGAGGGCTTGGAACATCTCACACTCCAAAGGCAATCCGCAGAATGGTCTCTCGACCTCTCTTTCATGTGCTCTCTCTGCATACCCCCCCCCCCCCCCCCCGAAGGGAGGCTGCCCCCAGGGGCGCGCACGTCCCAAGATCCTGTTTGGGGTACTCCTTCCCCGATTTTCAGGGAAACAAGGGCTGCACTTACATCATGTAATAGCGCGTGATGAGTCTTCCCCCTCTGTACTCCCAACAAATTTGGTACTTTCCGGTGACTAATCGCTACTTGCCCCCTCGTGGGTACGTCTGCGTCGCGAGGATGTCGAGTAGCCGGCGAGTACGTCGATGTAGGCCCCCTTCTCGGTCTTCCCCCGGTGGGTCATTGGTTAGGGTTTAGGGTTTAGGGTTTAGGGTTTAGGGTTTAGGGTTTAGGGTTTAGGGTTTAGGGGGAGAGGAGAACCCCTCTGTTGGCTCTCGCGGTCTGCTCGTGCGGGTGGTGGTTCTGCCCATGTGCGTGGTGAGTTGCGTGGAGCTGCTCTCCTGGGCCGCTGTGCGTGTACGTGCTGCCAGCTCGCCCAGGGCGTTGAGGGCTCGAGCTGCGAGGCTGGCTTCTTCTTGGACCAGAAATGGTAGTTGTGCGAGGAGTTGCCTGTGGCTAGTTGGGTGCCTCCCCTTTTGGTCTGTCTTGGTTGCTCTCCTTGCCCCCGCTGCTAGGCCGATGACGCCTGGTGCGCGTGTTCTTAGGGTGCGGTTGGGGTCGGCCGGGCCCGTGCGTCTGTTTGCATCTGCTGTGGTGGTGTTGGGGGGTGGTGGTGGTTGTATTGGTTGGGACCACTGTGGGGCTGCGAGCACCACTTCGTGTGCATCCCTTGCCTGTTGGGTCTCCCTCTCACTCTCTCTCTCTCTCTCTCGCTCTCTCCTGTGTTCATAGGTCTAAACCCAACACTTTAAACCTTATTTGCGGTTTAGGGTTTAGGGTTTAGGGGTTAGGGTTTAGGGGCGAAGAATCCCAGACCCCCTCTGGGGAAAGCGGAAAGTGGATCGAAGCGAAGGTTTCCGACGACTTTCCCGATCGTAGCACCTGGGGTACCCTGTTGATCACCTCTAGCGGCCCCTAGAACCGTGCAAAAAGCCCTACTTGGAGGTTCATGATACTCATTACTTATTCACCAAGTATACCTGTACTTATAACTGTACTTCTGACCATATTAGGGCACTTAAAAGGCTTGTATAAGTGGGATATAGGTACAGTTGTAGCTGGTTAAGAAGTACCATGAACCTCCAAGTAAGACCCTCAAAAACAACCTTCCCTCTGAAAGAGCGAGCTTGCCTGCGACTCCACCATGCCAGAAGTGAGAATGCAGGTCTTGAAATACCTTGGCCCGGCTGATCACACAGAGCTGAGGGGGGTAAGCAAGTAGCAAGAGCCGCGAAGTCTGTCTTCCCCTTGGTCCTCTTTGTGCTTGCCTTTTGGGAAGTCCCTTAAAGAACCCCCTGCTTCCGAACCAGCAGCCTCCCATGTACCTAACATAGAGCCGGGCACATCGGGGATCCTGACACTTGCCGGCTGATCTGTATAGGGTTCTTAAGGGATTGGGGGGGGTTCAAGGGGAATATGTAGCCCAAGGGTCCCGAATACTCCCCCACTACTCGCTAAAGCTCCCTAAGCTTCTTTAAGGTTCCCTAAGTACCTATCCCCCCCCCCCCCCCCCCCCCCCCCCAGGATCCTAAACCCGAAACCCTCAACCCTTTTCCCTTAAGACCCCTATAACAAGCCTACCCCCCCCCCCCCCCCCCCCCCACCACGGACCCCTGTCGCTTATGAGCCTGATAAGATCACCCCAGAGCCTCTCCGAGATCATTCTCCCTCTCCGGGTCGCTCTTCTGCTTGCAGGTTCAGGGTACTGAGAACCCTAAGTACAACTGCACGTAGAAGTCCCCTAAGTAGGTTATGTACAACTGCACGTATAAGCCCCCTAGGTCCCCTTCTATAAGTAGGTTCTAAGTAGACTGAAACCTCCAAGTGGTAGATTCGGGGGTAGAGTTTAGGGTTTAGGGCTTTGGGGCTGCCAAGGGCTGGAGCAAAACCACTTACTCACCGAGCCTTGGGCTTCCGTCCTGCAACCCTAAACCCTAAACCCTAAACCCTAAACCCTAAACCCTAAACCCTAAACCCTAAACCCTAAACCCTGACCCTTGAACGACTTCTGGCCCGCAGGGGAATGGAATGAAAAACCGCCAGAAGTACTTGCATGGCTGGTTTGGCACTCTAAAAAAATCAAATCAGAATCTCATCAAACGCCATGAGGGGGAAACCTCGCAAGGCCGTGTCGTCATCAGAGTATGTCTCAGTTCTTCATTTAACGGTGTGTGTTGGGACCACTTCAGGGCGGCGAAGGGAGCACGAGGATGCGGAAACCGGTGCAATTTCCAACCCAAACCCTAAACCCTAACCCCTAACCCCTACTCCCTAAACCCTAAACCCTTCCAAACATGGCCCCGAAACTTCTTGAAAAGGAGCCCTCGCCACCTCCCAGAATGCTCCCGAGCGCTCGGAAGCCCCAAGGCCAAAAACCCCTGAAATGCAAGCAGACTGCTTAGGGTTGAATGGTTTAGGGTTTAGGGTTTAGGGTTTAGGATTAAATCCTAAACCCTACCCCCCAAACCCATACGGGGCCACGCCTTTTTGTGCCGCCCCGTGGTGCAGCCCGCTCCCCCCAGGCAAACAAGCAAGTGCCAGAGTGGCGTGCTGAAAAATTGTTGGGGCCCAGGGCTTAGGCTTGGGTTTGCTGGAGAGTTCAGTTTGAGTTGTGGTTTTGCGGTTTTGGTGCTGAGGGTTAGAGAGCTTTGGGCTTTCAGGGTCTAGGGTCGTTCTGCGCGGGACCCCGTAAACAACCGCGGCCAGCCCCCCCCACTCAGGCACTTTCGAAACGCGCAGGTTGCGAGGCAAGAATGCAGGCGTTTATGACATGAAGATGCCCAGCCATGTCAACAAAATCTGGTCCTGAAACCTCTAAGCCTTCAGCCCCCAAGGAACTATTTTCCAAGTGCATTGAAACTGAGTGTTCGACCAAGACTCTTGACGTCAACAAGGCCCCACCGAATTAAAGATACGCGCTCCGCGCAACCTCATGCCTTCGGACGGTAGTACTGCGAGATGTTCGTGGCCTTGTGAAAGTAGTACACTTTCCTCAGACGGTGCAGACACCTGAGCCCTAAACCCGAAGCCCTCAACCCTGAACTCTACTAAACCCCAACAGCAACTCCCGCACACCCGGGTGCGGTCAAGCTTTGCTTCATAACGCCCCCATTAGCCGAGCAACAGCAATAGGAATAATACAATACAAAAACATATAGATAAATCAATAGAAGAATAAAAAAACTCTATATATATATATATATGCATACATATATTGCATATATTGACAAGAGTTAGAAAACAGACGCGCCCGACTTTGGAATCTTCATGCTCTGGGTGTTAGGGATGGTGGTTGCTTAAAACTCCTGGGCCCCTAAACCTGCAAAGGCCTAGAGCCCGAACAGCACGAGACACTAGGGCCTAACTCAAAAACCCAAAGCAACACAACCCCAAGCCCTACGAGTAGCTCAAAACCTCCCCAAAACAAACAACGTCCTCAGCCCCAAGCCAAAGAAAGCCGTAGGTCTTTGTCAAAACCTCCGAAAGCAGGAAAGCGCTGGAGTCCCCACATCCCTAAACCCTAAACCCTAAACCCCAAACCCTAAACCCTAAACCCTTAAATGCTGGACCGAGGTACCCATTCCGCTTGGAGATGTGCCTGAGTCTCGCGCCCAAGGACGGTTCTGGAGGCAAAAGTTTTCAAGGGCTTTCTGCTTTCCTAGGATGGTCCTAAGGTTTAGGGTTTAGGGTTTAGGGTTAGGGTTTAGGGTTTAGGGTTTGGGGTTTAGGGTTTTCTGAATACGATCCATTTGAGCCCAAGAAGCGAAGATGCAAAAGATTCCCACAAAACCCTGAGAGGAAAGATGACTCAATGGTAGTATACTTGGAGGTTCCATGGTACTTATTAACCAGTTCATGCTGTACTTGTCACTGTACTTATAACCACATTTGGGCACTTAAGGGGCTCATAAGTGGGTTATAAGTACAGTTATAATTGGTTAATAAGTACCATGAACCTCCAAGTACCATGTGGGGTTCTACTGGGTGCCTAGTTTTGGGTGCTCTTCTGCTTCTACGGGCTTGACCCTAAGAGCAAGATATCACTTGAATTGAGGAATATACCTTAAATCATAACAAGGATCCCTGTATAATCTAAGGGTATATTCCTTAATGAAGGGGCATAAACGGGCTCTCTGGGAAGGGTTACTTGGGAGTTTCCGAAAAGAGGGGTACCTTTGTGGGTGTCCTTTTAAGTGGATTCGATTCAATTTTGGGCATAAAAGGGGTACATTTTTTTCTTCTCTTTGTGTTTTTACCTTATTTTTTGTTACCTACTGTGTCGGGAAATGCCCACTTTAGACCCACTCTTTGCTCTTGGGAAGACAGGAGATGGCAGCTTCCCAAAGCCAACGCCTACTTCTGAGAGGTGGGGGCGCTCCAAACCCCCCTGAACCCTCAATCCGTAACCCCTAAACCCCGAAAGCCTCAGCCCTCAACCCCTAAAGCCTCAACCCACAACCCTCAACCCTAAACCCCAAACCCTAAACCCTCAACCCTGTTGGCACAGGAGGGTCTAGAAGCGCGACGTCCCCAAGATTTGCAGATTCTCGGACATCTTCAGGTAGTTTTCCCCCCAGAAAAGATTTAGGGTTTGGAGTCTAGAGGTTTATGATTTTTCCCTGTCATGCGGTTTATGGGGTTTAGGATTTAGGGTTTTGGGGTTGACGTTTTGGGGGTTTGGGGTTCTAGGCCTTTTTCTGGGTTTGCTTGGTTTTCCCTAGGAAAACCTACTGATAGTGTTGTTTTGTCCTAGGAAAACACTAAAAAAGGAGCCTCCCCAATTGAAACGACTCTTGAATCGTTTACAGCTTTCTCGGTCCGTCAAAGGTTTGGGGTAGTGGCTCGTCAGGAACTGAAGTACTAGAACCGACCGGGGTTCAGGGTTTAGGGAATCCCCCCTCCCTGTCCCACCCGACCCCGTTCAGCAAAAAATCGCAGGTTGCGAGCCCGAAACCCTAAACCTTAAACCCGAAACCGCACCTGAAAGAGCCCCCCTAAGCCCTAAAGCCCGAAACCCCCTTCAGCTCCACTAGAACCCTCAGCTCTCCGAAAAGGATCTTCGTCCAGCCATTGGGGAGATCCTCCGCCTTCCTCGGCTTTGCCAGGAGTGGGTGAAGGGCTTCAGGGTGTAGGGAAGAAGGATAACCCCCATGACATCATAACTCGACTTACGAATTCTTTTGATCCTTCAAGTACGGCTTTCCGGCTCTCAGGGTTTAGGGTGAGGAGGAGAGGATTCTAGGGCTTCGAGGTGGCACCCTCTCTCTGCCACCGCCGAATACCCCTTGACTGACTAAGGAGTATACCTTAAATTGTACAAGGGAACCCTGAAATCCTAAACCCTAAACCCCTTAGAGCCTCTGAATGCCAAAGCCCTAGAAGACTGCTGGGATCCCTATGGTGTAAGGTCTCTTCCTTGTTTTAGGGGCATTGGGCCCTTTGGGGACTCCCAAGGTCTTCTGGGAAGCGCCCTGAACCTGAAACCCCAAACCCGAAACCCCAAACCCTAACCCTAAACCCCAAACCCTAAACCCTAACCCCAAACCCTAAACCCCAAACCCTAAACCCTAAAAACCCTAAACCCTAAAACCTAAAACCCCTAAAACCCCTAAAACCCCAAACAACAAAACTGCTCTCCAGCCCAAGATGCCGGCCCTGTGCCGGCGCGGTGCCCTTGGCCGGGGCGCCCTCGGCCTTCCCAAAGTGGGTTTTTTTGAGGTTTTAGGGTTTAGGATTTAGGGTTTCAGGGTTTTAGGGTGAAGGGTTTAGGGTTAGGGTTTAGGGTTTTAGGGTCTTAGGCTTTTGGTGTTTTAGGGTTTTAGGGTCTTAGGGTCTTAGGGCTTAGGGTCGCATAGCGCCGTACAGAAGGAAAGCCCGCAAGATGCAGCTGCACGTGCTACGTACGGTCCTGCCTTGGCCGGTCGCCCCTGTCTCTCAGATCGAAATCCCCTTAGGGTTTAGGGTTAGGGTTTAGGGTTTAGGGTTCAGGGTTCAGGGTTTAGGGTTCCACTCGTGGCGTAAGAGCTCCATTGCTGGACTGGGCAAACATGTTCAGCTCAAGGATGCGAACTGATGGTCCTGTAACTGGCTGAAGCAGCCACCCTCTTTTTGGAGCAGAATCTTCAATCCGTCGAGGTGCAGGTTGTGGTTTAGGTAGGACAACCGTTCATGGACAAATTCGAAACCTTATTCAAACTCCAAATCCCCAAGCCCCAAAACTGCCCTCACCCTTCTCTCACCCTTGCCCTTGCCTGCTTCGCAACCTTCTTTGGGGTTGGCTCCTGCAGGCAAGCGCTCGGGATGTAGGGTTTAGGATTTTAGGGTTTGCCTAAACCCTAAACCCTACACCCTAAACCCTAATACCCTAAACCCTAATACCCTAAACCCTAATCCCCTAAACCCTAATCCCCTAAACCCTACACCCTAAACCCTAAACCCTACACCCTAAACCCTAATCCCCTAAACCCTGATACCCTAAACCCTGCAGGCCCCGGAGCGCTCCCCCAAAGCCCCCCGAAACCGCCTAAGCCCTCAAGGGCCCAACAAAAGGCCCTAAACTACACCCCCCCAAAAAACTACTATTTGCTTCAGAAGCCTCCCCCACCCCCCACAAAAAACAAACACATTTCCTTTTTCTGCCAGGATCCTCTTTCACCCAATACTACAATTTGCTGAAGAAACCCCCCTAAAATTGGACGTATTCTGCCCTTTCTACGGGCAATACAGGGATTATTATCTTTGACATTTTTTGGGGTACCCTGAAACAAGTAGTCCTATTTATCTCCCCTCAGCTCCCGCAGAGTATCTTCGTTTCACTACCCTGGATCTGATCCGCTCGCAACTCTATAACCAGGAATCAAAGAATCAAAAAACCAAGTAATATAGGGCTCGGTTCCCTTGTGGTCCCTTTGCGAGTATACTATAATACCCCCCCCCCCCCCCGCACCGTATTCCAATTTTTAAGGCCTACTAACAACCGGCTATACCCTGAAGCCCTACGCTTCAAGCCTTCAGATTGTGAGACTTCTTGCGGAGACGAGGGCTTGGATAGCAGCAACCTTATATGGGGTTTCCGAAAATAGGGGTACCCTTTTGGGGGGTGCCTTTTGGGGGGGGGTGCCTTTAAGGGGATTCTATTCTGTTTTGAGGTAGACAAGGGGTACGCATATTTTGGGAAAATACCCACATAAGCACAGAGTAGGGAGACTAGTTTATAAGAACTTCCGGTAGCTTCTGCGAACCTTTTATGGGGGTTATAAGCGAATAACGCTGGTACGGCCTTGGGGCTCCGGAGTTTCGGAAAAAGTGTGCAGAAGGTGGTGTAGCGGTTCCTACTGTTTGCTTAAGAGCCCCCAAGAAATAAAATAACGTTCTTCCCTATAAGGGTAAAAAGGGGGGTACATATACTTTTCTTTATTTGGGGTCCTTAAGCATGGGGCACCTGCCAACCAAGCCATGTCGCACATCCCTCCATCTCGGAACCGAGTGGGGGCAATTTTCTCACCCTAAACCCCGGTCAGCCTAGCAGATGCTGTACAATGTGACTCTAGACCGTAACCCGCCCAAGCCCCCCTAAACCCTAAACCCTAAACCCTAAACCCTAAACCCTAAACCCTAAACCCAAAACTCTTTTGCCGGCCTCCACCTTCTTTGGCATTTCAAACTGCGACTTCTGTGTGATCTTGTTGAAATAGTACACTTCTCCTCGGAAGTAAGCTCTCTGCTTATGGTTTAGGGTTTAGGGTTCTGTTTGACCCTTGAAGCCCTTGCTCGATAGACCCACTGGGACCACTACCAGCTTCCCTTGCCTAAGAATACAAGGGGCCACACATGCTTTGAGTTTAATGAAGGGAGGGTTGTAGAAAGGAGCCGAACACACCAAACAAGAAAGGAGGGCAAAGGTTCTACGGGGCATCCTAAAGGAGGTATTCTTGTTGAGCTTGCACCAGTGAATGGAGGCCTGTTTGCGGAACCAGATCCGTGAACAAAGCACTAAGGGCCCTAAACCCTAAGCTTGTGCCCACCCCGGAAATCCCAAACATTACAAAAAAAGAACAGCCGTAGTTTGATGGTGCTCTTGCCCCCTCGACCTGGATAGCTTGTCTATCCCACCACACCCCAGGAGAGGCTCTGCAATGCTGCTCGCCGGGCGTGAGCTTTCTAAGGTTTAGGACTCTGTTGTGACGATGTGCAGACTGAAACACTCGGCAATCCCCTAAAAACAAGAGTGCCTCATACCTAAACCCTGTGCAACGTGCAATACGCTCCTCCGTAGCTTCTGAAGTCGCATGCCCGACTGCATCTAAGCGACCCGTTGTGCGCGACTTGATGCGCAGCCAGCCAGAAGGCAACGTGGGCTGGTTGCTGAACTCATTCCTTGCTGTGATCTTGAGGGTGAAGGGTGTACTGTACGCCATCTTCCACCTACTAGGGCTGTAAAAATGTCTGAAGATTCTAACGAAGTTATAGGATTGTCATGCTGTGGTGTGGCGATGGCGACAGTCCGGCTTTGTTCATCAAACCATATGTGCATAATGGGATTGAAAAGCTTCTGCGGCAAAAAACTTGAAACCGGTGGTGTCGAATGTGATGCCAACCTAGACCCCAAACATGAGAGACCATGTGAGCCCAGACGCCAAAAGCGAAGACTGTTTCGCACTCGGCGAACACCGACGTCGAAAAGTGACGACCCCTGCGCATTTCGCGAACAAAGCACAGAAAATGAAGAATCCTTGCGAGGAAAGCTAGCCCGGGTACGCCCGCGCCTAGTCGAGAGCGCGATTCTCGCCCAAGAGCCGAGCAGGCTTCCGGAAAAATCGCATCAGACGGCGTGCCGCGCGGCAACATTTACCTACTCCGGCTTACACTGCACGTTCGAACCCCATATTTTGACACACCGTTTGTGGAATAACACATGCTTTTTGCTGCTGCCCATCCTATCTTGGCCATGTTTTCCGGAGCCCACGCTTGAATCAAGCCACGAACCAGCCTGCAACCGCAAGAAGGTACTTGATGCGGACTGGCCGGTGCTAGCGCAGCAACAAAAGCCACGTAGGGCAGAATGCTGCAAGTTTTTTCTTGAAACGTCAACGAAACAGGAAGCTCACAATGTGTACCGCCGCGCAGGTCCTGCGCGGACTGCTGAAAAGTCGCAGCAGCAGCTCAACGAAATGCATTCGCCCCAAAGTTGCACACAACCTACGTTGACTGTCCTGTTCTCTGACGACAAAGGCGAAGGCTTGCTTAGACGCACGGGTTTAGGGTTTAGGGTTTAGGGTTTAAGGACAGCAACCCCTGTGCAAACCTCAAACCTGACCAGGAAACCCCTGTTTCCCTTCTAAGTCTGTCTAAGGCTCTGTTCAGCTTCCCACTCCCGCACTGTCTTCCCTTGTACCTGTCTGGCAGTTTGGCCCTGGCTTCTGGTTATGTGGGACAGTGTGTAGATATCGTACAAGGGTGTCGGGGCTACTGCTCAACTAACTACTTGTGCCTGTCTGCTTTGGCAAAGGTACGTGCGCGGTTTAATCAACAGAAGGTCTCTGCGGCACGTAAGAGCTACTTTGTTCGTGGACACCCAGGCAAGCACCTTCTTTCAACTCGCACCCAAGGCCACAAGCACCTTCATCCGAAAAAAAGTGCTTTACCATGTTTTCGCACGCAACGCCCCAAGCACCTTTATCCCAAAACCCTTCCATTTTTCCTCACTTCGTGCCCGAAGCTCAAAGCATCTTCAACGCAAAAACCGGGGAACTGCTATTGCTCGGCCGATTCCTGACACTTCCCGCGTGTTTTGCGGCGCGGCCGGCGGCGTCCCCTCCGTAGGGGAAACGAAAGTCCGAAAGCCAGACCTGGTAACCAAAAACATGTTTCCAACAGGCCAGGCGGAAGAGGAAGCCAGCAGTCAAAAAAAAGCGCGCGTCGGTCAAGGACCTGAGCTGGCAAAGGCTTCAGACGTGCGAGCCTACTTGCTACTCTATGAAAGCCCGGAAGACCGTAACCGACGCGCAGCGCCTACCTACTAGTCGAGGGCGCAGCTTCGCACAGGGTCCCCAAGCCCCTCCCCCCCCCGCTGCACGTTTCTTGGGCTGCAATCTGTGATGCATGTGTGCTGCGCAGGGTGAGAATCCAGCCCTCCTCTGTGCAGCAACGCTGCACTAGGTGGTGTGCAAAGCCTGACGCCCTGTAGACAATGTGATTCACGTGCGTGGGTCGGCTGGAGGGAAGTTGGCTGGCTTTTGATGAAGGCTCAGGCGTTTCCTGCAAAACTCACTGCAGGTGTCAGCTGCCTTCCATGACTCTCAGCAGGAGCCAGGTACTCATCCGGAAGCTGTTGTCGCAAAGCAGGCCATTCACAGCGAAACGCAGAAAGCTGGCGAAATGCCACCGCAGCACGCGCGTGTGCGCCAGAAGAGAACCAGCAAGAAAGAAGATCCGGCAGCGCAGATCCCCGGCATTTTTTAACTAAAATTGAGGGTGGCGCCGGAGTGTGCGCAGTGTCGTCAGCGCACTCTGGACCCCGGGCACCGGTCAGGCGACGACAAATTACCAGCCCAACGGCAACAAGCCCAAATTCTAAACTCTAACACCAAAAGCCCGAAAAGCCTGAGGCCTAAAGCTTTTCCAAGTCGTCCGGACGCGGGCGGTGCCTTTGCTCGTGACCTCTATCTGCGCTCACTCGCGCGAGACGTGCTGTTGTGACGTCTGTTCCATGCCGTGGCCGTGCGTACTCACAGCTTTCTTCTCGACTCGGGGGCAGGTCTCAAAAGCAACGGCCTTGCAGCACCTGGGAAGTCGAATGTCGAAAGCCCGCGGCTCTCCAAGGCTTCTTGGCTTCAGGGGCTCGCCGTGCGGCCTTTCTGAGGGCCGGGTTTTTGTAGGGGTTTCGTCGGGTTGCGGTTGTGTCTGTGTCTCCTTCTCAGGGTCTTGGCTTGAGTCGGCGTTGCGGGCTCGCGGGAAGAGCTCAGCATCTTTTCATCGCCGTTTCCAGAGCCGGCAGTAGGAGAAGCCATAGGCGACAACACCACGCCTTGCCACATGAGCTTCCCAGTAATCACTCCAAACCCTCCACGCAACCATGAGCGGACCACCAAAAGCCCTTAGCCCACTCAACAACCCCTTTCAAGAAGCTCAGCTCTTCACCTCACTTTGCACAAAGAAAAGCCAAACCAACACTCACACCATCACATAGCCGCAACGAAACCCTAAACCCTGAACTACTAAACCCAAGAGCCCCAATTAAGTTCTACACCAGGGGGCTCCCAAACAGCTCGGGGCCTTGTTCGGCTCTGACTTTGTGTCGCCAGTCAAGTACCATGCGTTGGGCGCCTCCGCTTCAAGGACGCTTTAGAGCATGAAAAATTGAACCCCCGCACCCCCACCTCTAAGCCACGGAATGTGCAAGATTGGAAGGGAGGGGTGTTCAATATCGCGGGAGGGGTCCAGGGGCATAGGACTTTGCGGTGAGTGCCAAAACAGCCACCAAATTCAGCATATGGTCTCTATCTGGAATCGCACAAAGATGATCAGCAGTGACAAGAGAGATAGAGACAGAGACAGAGACAGAGAGAGAGGGAGAGCGAGAGAGGGAGCGATAGAGAGAGCGAGCGAGCGAGCGAGCGAGAGAGCGAGAGAGAGAGAGAGAGAGAGAGAGAGCGAAAGAAAGAGAGAGAGAGAGAGAGAGAGAGAGACAGAGAGTTGCTTGTATAAGTGAGGTTTCTAAATGCCAGTGGGCCAAGCCCTCGAACCGGGACCTTGCCACGCTGCTAACCCCGAAACCGAGTCCGTGTGACAAAAGCAAACTACAATAGGGTTTAGGGTTTAGGGTTTAGGGTTTAGGGTTTAGGGTTTGTCAGGACACGGCGGCTTTGGTACAAGTGTTACGAATATCAGGGTTCACTGATCTGCTGGCTGCTTGGAATTCCCCAAGCAAACAGCGCCTGATGTCGTTTTAGGGAACCCATAAACCCCAAATCGGATTCCAAAGGCCCGAAAACCTTCGCCCCCCCCCCCCCCCCCCCCTGTCACCCCCTGCCTCGCTGAAGCAGAGCACTCCCTTGATCCTCGGTGAGAGCTGGCAGCGCTGGCAGAGATCAGAGCCCTGAACCCGAAACCTAAAACCTTAAACCGGAGTCTTGTACTGAGCCCTCAGTGGTAACCACTGGGGTGGGCAGGGAGCCCTCCACTGTGCACGAAGAAGTGGGGAAACTGTAACCGGCATGCTGCGCGTCTGCGCTCAAGCGGACTCAAGCGGACGCCTTCATGCCCAGCAACTGCGGTGCCTCTGCTGCCCGCTGCTTCCGCTGGATCGTCCGGCTCACCAGCATCTCGAAGATCTCCTGCTGCTCGGTGCCTTTGCCCCCGCACATGCCGACGATGACGCTCTTGGGGGCGAAGGAACAATAGAGGCAGGCCTCCAAGAAGTAGGGCTCACCCTTGGGGTCCACGCGGACGTCGTAGAGGCTGTAGTCGCGGCACCCCAAGGCGCGGTGGCTCCGGGTGACGAGGGCTTCCACCTTCGCCCTGAGCTTCTCGTCGACGTCGGCAGGGCACTTTCGCCCGCCGGTGGTGACTGTGACGGGGACCCCACGGCTGTCAGTGACGAGCTTGTCCTTGGAGACACGGATGGGCTTCTCGGGGGTCAGGAAGTACTCCAAGCACGGCAGCAACTCCAATTTGCCGTCCTCTTGCTCAACGACCGCGCAGCGGATCTCTCGGCCTCGCTCGATGTATCGTTCGCAGAGGACCTCGCTGTCAAAGCTGAGGCCGTCTCGAGCGCCTCCTCCAACTTCTGGCCGTCCTTGCCCGTGTACAGCGTGATGCCCATGGAGTTGTCCTCGTTGCACGGCTTGAGCACGAAGGGCAGCGACATCTTGGGTTTGTCACCCTTGCGCAAAATCTCGGCGTCGGGAACACGGACGCCAGCGGCCGCGACCACGGCACGGGATTGGGCCTTATTGGTCGACAAGGCCATGACATTGGCATCGTTGCCCACAAGGGGGATCTGCATGGCGTCGAAGAGCGCACGGTATGTCGTCATGCCCGGGTAGCAGAACATGTGTGGCACGACACAGGCCGGCGCCAAGCCCTTGATCACCTGCATCGCTGCAGGCATGTCCAAGCGCTCGGCCTCGGCCTTCGCGGTGTCCGAGAAGTCCTTTGGGAAGCTCCAGGTGCCGTCCATGTGGACCATGGCGATACAATGCTCGTAGGTCCCCTGTGTCACCACGGTCTCGAAACACTGGCTGGCGTAGTAGGCCGAAACGCCCTCGTAGTACTCGCTGACCCGGGAGCCACAGAGGTGCAAGACGATGGGCTTGCCGCTCTGCACCGCCGACAACGTGGCCTTGGTCGAGGAGCCCATCCTATCAAGGTCCGGGACGGGAGTCGGAGCAGCGAGGCAAGCGAGCTTCTTGCGCAGTGTCCCGAGCACAGCGGCAGCCTTGGCCAAAACTGCTGGAGCTCCGGGCAATGGCGTCCCCAATACTCGTACCAGCACCGGCTTCTGAGGTTTGGAGCCCCCCCCCCCAAACCCTAAACCCTAAACCCTAAACCCTAAACCCTAAGCCCTAAACCCTAGACCCTAAACCCTGAACCGTAAACCCTAAACCCTGAACCCTGAACCCTAAGCCCTAAGACCTAAACCCTGAAGGGGCTGACGGGTTCTCTAGATCCTCTGAGGCTTGCTCGCTTCTCATGCGAGGCAGGAGGTCCAACCACAGCACTTCGGGTGTGACCCCTCCCTAAACCCTAAACCCTAAACCCTAAACCCTAAACCCTAAACCCTAAACCCTAAACCCTAAACCCTGAACCCTAAACCCTAAACCCTAAACCCTAACCCTAAACCCTAAACCTCAACCCTACATGGGGGTTTCCGAAAATAGGGGTAATATAGGGGCCTGAAGAATTAGAACAGGGTTTTGGGGTTATTATAGTATATTCAGCAAGGGGCCACTAAGGGAATGCACTTAGAAATTATTCCCACCCCTATCTTACCCTTCTTGAGGATCCCTTTAAGGGCTTCTATGCTGCTTGGCGCCATGCAAAAGGACCCCCCTAGTCGAGGGAGCTGACATCAATTCCCGACCCCCACATCTTAGGGTGCCTTTCATACCCTATGAAACCCAAATCCCCCATACTTCAGAACCCTATAAAGAAGGTAAGGGACCACATTGAGGGGCCGTGTAGCTACCCTGAGACCAAGGCCTGAACCCGAAGAGCCTAAGGTTCTCAAGGGTTAAGGCTTTGCGCACCCTATGCCCTAAAGCCCAAATGCCTGAACCTCTAAATCCCTAAACCCAAGGCCAAGGAACTTTGTTACCACGGCATCGTCCGGCAACATCACCTCCCGACTCGAAAAGGTTCATATACTTCGTCTGCCCTGAAATCATGTGGGGA